TAAACATAGTATGAACGATAACTAAAATGTCTGCAATTGTTAAATGTTTAACTCTTACACCACAACTTATAACATTATTCAACCCCATGACTAATATGTCCATGTTCTATTCCAGTTTCCATTTCCTATCAAATTCTCGATTCATAATTACAATTCAGAACTAGGCCAACCATTTTAAATGGGATCACATCTCATGGCTATGGTACTTCTATTTCAGGTGAGATAATAACTCATTTTAAACATTTCATATTTCATAATAGATACACATTTTGGTGTTGTAACACAGTCAAACAAGACATTTCCGTCCTTTCTAAATGATATACATTTTAGTGCTTTAGTGCTATATCAAATAAACATAGAAACACTTCTATACTTCACATCTGATACACATTGTAGTGCTGTATCAATGTCGAACCATTTCCGGTTTAGAGGTCCATCCCCCATCTTTCAATAAACCGTGGAGTACATCCCCCATCTCCTCCCACACAAAGCAATGTACATAAGCAGTTATTATATACAAGTTCAATCAGTCAATACAAATGATATACATTTTAGTGCTGTATCAAATCAAACAAAACACTTCCATACTTTCTAAATGATATACATTTTAGTGCTATATCAAATAAACATAGAAACACTTCTATACTTCACATCTGATACACATTGTAGTGCTGTATCAATGTCGAACCATTTTCGGTTTAGAGGTCCATCCCCCATCTTCCAATAAACCGTGGAGTACATCCCCCATCTCCTCCCACACAAAGCAATGTATATAAACAATTATTATATACAAGTTCAATCAGTCAATACAAATGATACACATTTTAGTGCTGTATCAAATCAAACAAAACACTTCCATAATTTCTAAATGATATACATTTTAGTGCTATATCAAATAAACATAGAAACACTTCTATACTTCACATCTGATACACATTGTAGTGCTGTATCAATGTCAAACCATTTTCGGTTTAGAGGTCCATCCCCCATCTTCCAATAAACCGTGGAGTACATCTCCCATCTCCTCCCACACAGGGCAATGTATATAAACAATTATCATATACAAGTTCAATCAATCAATACATAAAATTAATGTATTCTTTCAACCGTCATATTCGATGACACATCCAATAGATTAGTTTTAGTTTGCCTAATCATCAAGCATTGTCTACAACAATCAAAACTACCATCCACCAGTAGCCCAAGGCAATTATTGCTAAACAGATAGTAAAAGCACCAACAGATAAATTATCCGTATTTTCAAACTGAACGATCTATTAATCCGACTCCACTACTCCATCTCATAATGAACCACTATCATCATATTCAACTCAATTTACCAAATCCATAACTTTCCCATATTAATTATACTAATTAATTTATGCCACATTAAGGGCTATTCTTTCCTCCCTTCTCTCAAGCTTGACCCCACGGTCCAAAAAACTAACAAGTAACAACATCAACAACCTCTAATTTAGACCCAAAACACACAAGGATGAGTCAAATAAACAAAACCCCTGTTTTCAAAATCACACATTTGAAACCCTAACTTCCAAAAATCCAAAACCTTATATACAAAGTCACAATCTAGGTCAAAGCCCATAAACGTAAACGATGAGTAGGAATCCCTACCTCAAAGATGAAGCCCAACGAAGAAGATGAAGGAAACGAAGATGCTCCAAATCCCGAAATTCTTGGATCAAAATATAGCCCTCAACGATCAACACACTTTTTACAAAGGCCGAAGGATAGGAGACACTCTAACTAGATCAAACCTAGAGAGAAGGGAGGTCTAGAGAGAGAGGGCTCTTCAAAATCGATTTTGGAAAAGTAAGAGAGATAAAGGAAATAATAAAAGTGTATTAAAATTACCCAGCGGACGACTCATATAGTGTATGACCCGTCGAGCGGAGAATAGAACGCTCGAGCGTCAAGCACAAAAATCTGGTCACGCTGAGCGCAGAAGGCCCGCTCGAGCACCAAGAAACAAAAGCAAAACCACATCTGCTCGATGCGAAAGAACCAGTCCGCTCGAGCGTAGATTTTCACCTCCTAGAACTTTTCAGAAAAAGAATTACCCGCCTCGACAGCCGGCCACAACAAGCCTGCTCGACACGCACTCTCATCAGCCAAGAAACCCGCTCGAGCATAGAAAACACACCTGCAAAAGTTTTGCAGGGGCATGAAATACTGGAAGTGTGTAAACCACCGCTCGAGCGGACCATTCAAAAACTGGACAACAACAATGGGAGCTAAAGCTCTACCAACCTGTAACAACCAAGCCCAACACATTCTAAAACTCAAACAAAAGGGTTTAAAGGTTGACAACACGATAGGTACAACTACCAACTCCACGGAACCGCGTCCGGAATACAATAGAACAGTAAAGGAATAACCGGGATCGCTATACGTACACATTTAATAAATTAGAAAATATAAAATTTTAAAAAGTGTGAATATTTTTTAAACGTATTCATACTAACTTTCATACTTTCTAAAAATATCTTAAGAATTAAAAGTATCAATGTTCAGATTTACAACTTTCACACATATTACAAAATTCACACTATTATAATGCAACGAAGATGAGTCTCATGACAAAATATTTCTCGAAAGTATGAAATTTTATAAATGAATTTTTTTTTTCACGATTTCAAATTCTAAAAAAGTGTGTTTAATTTGTGTTTTGAGATAAATGTTCACAAAAAATTCTAGGGAGAGAGTTTAGAAATTTTTTGGTTTGTTTGGTTGTATATTTTGAAAATAGTTTTGGAGTTTGGAAGCTTGGGATGATTTGATATTTTGTTGTAATTGAATAGATGTGTGTGAGAGAAAAAGTAATTGAGAATGAGAGAGAAGAGAGAAAAAGTGATTGATTGATATGTAGCAGAGAGAAAGTGATTTTGAAAATTTTTCTCAAAAATTGTATCTTGAGATACAAACTAAGCAAGTCTGTATTTTTTTTTTCATTTTACATAATTTTGTATTTAATTGAGAACGATCTCGCTGAGTAGTTATAAAATAGAGATTAAATTCATTTTACCTCACATGATTTAAATATAATCAGAAAATTCTCATGTGATTTTGGAGGAGTAAAGTGTCGCTATTAGTTTTTTCATTCAAATTGACGGAAGGTGTATCACACACACTATTTTAAAGTGGGTTTAGTTTTCTAAAAAAATAAAATGAAATTAATACAACAAAAAGATTAATATGTTAATTAAAATAAATAAAATAAAATAAAATATAATTAACGATTATTCTAAAATATAAAATATAACTAAATATTTTAAGTAAGAATATAAAATACATAATAACTAGAAATTGATCTAAAATATGATTAAATTAAAATTAGATTTAAAATTTAGCAATTACAATAACTAATTAAATATTTAAGATTAATTGTGATTTAAAATATAATTAAATTAAAATTAGAATAAAAGGTCAAGAATTACAATAAATGATTAAGAATTTATAATTACTTCTGTTTTAATTGAATTAATGTTTAAACATTATAAACTATGTGCATTAAAGGGTATTATAGTCATTTTACATCTCTAGTTAACTATGTTAATGATTGCACAAAATCACATGAGATCGCTTTGGCTATTTTTGAACTATAAGGGTAAAGTGCTTTGGCCTCAAATCACAAGGGAATAAAATAAATTTTGCCCTATAAAAAATCTAAATTTTATAAAAAAAAAAATAGATGTATATTTTAAAAGTTGTAAAATTTTAAAGTTTTAAAACATTAAAAAAAGAAAAAAGAAAAAGTGTTAATCAACTAGGCCTAATCTAGTTGACTACTATGACTTTCTTAAGGGCTTAGTCCTTAAGGGGGAGGTCATAGGTTTAAATCTCCTTAAGGGAGTTAAATTAAGGAGAAAAACACTTGACTTTGTAAAGAATGGGGAGGTTAACTCTCATAGGTATTAATCTAACAATCAACAATTGATTTTCACTGATCAACATATATATATATATATATATATAAGCATGTCAACCAAAACAAGGATAAAATTGTCATAAAAAAACATCTAATTTCAATAAAAGGATTTCTAATATACAATTTCATACATATAAAGAATTTATCGGATCATATTTTATTTCCATAATATTTATGACTAAACAAATTCTTGAAAAAGGCTCTTCACTAATTTTTCCTACACTTAAATGGATTCTATTTTGTTATGATTATTAACGTACAAATATTTGTGAATGCTTTATGTAGTATCTACAATTTCCCATCTCTCCTCAAGTGTTTCTCTGGTGTTTATCATATTTTCAGAATTAAAAAAGAAAAAAGAAAAAAATGTTTTTGGTAGAGAGAGCCTCAATGTACATTAAACACTGTTTGATTCATAAATTTAGAGAGGGATTTAGAAAGGGAAAAAGCAGAGGGTAAAAAATGAATAATTTTTTTTAAAAAAAAAATTGAAAAAATTGAATTATTATTATTTTTTTTTGTACAAAACTGAAAATTTTGTGTCTACAAAGGAGCATAATGATGGAATATTGATGTGCAAAACTGAAGAAAAAAAACTTTAAAAATGAAAAAACTGATAATATTTTCAATTTTAAAACTGAAAAAAATTGATAATGTTCTCTGTTTTGTTGGATAGTTGAATCAAATCAATAAGTAAAAGGGCAAAAACGTTTAATCCCATGCTCTGTTTTTTTTTTCCCCATCAGTTAGTGAAATAATTATCTAGAACATTATTATACAAAATTAATAATGTTGTTAGTTTTATAAATTGGGAAAAATTGATAATATTGTCAATTTTACTAAATAGGACTTATTGGTTCAAACAATCGTAATCGTAAATAAAATCTAAGCTACCATAACATTTGTAAATACGATTTTTAGGTAATTAACTCTTTCTACTTAGTTAATGGTTATTTCTTTTTCGTTTTTTATTTTCTTAATCGGCAAAAGAGAGAATTTTATCTTCACTTTCTATTTCTTTTCTTTGATATCTCTCTTTTTGTTTTACCTGCAGATACAGATTGAGAGAGCTTTATCCTCTGAAATTCAAACCTCAAACTAGTTTCTTCTTCAATATTTGTTTTTTTTTAAAAAAAAAGGCCAAAAAAAAGAAAGAAAGACAAAAGTGGATTGAAAATGAGTGCCCTGCAAGGTATATTTTCAATTGTAGGGGGAATTGCAGGGAGAATAGTTGAGCCAGTGATCCAATTAGTGGTGCCCCACGTTGGTTTTGTTTTTCAGTACAAGAAGAAGCAGAAGAAACTGGAAGTTGAAATTAAAAACCTTGAAGAGCAGAGAAAACAAATTGAAGAAAAAGTTGATGAAGCTATTACTCGTGGTGAAGAACTTGATGAACCTGTTTCAAACTGGCTAATGGAGGTGGAAGAAAGAGTTCAGAAAATTAAGGATGACAATACAATTAACGAAAACATGCAGTGCTTTAAATTCTCATGTCCAGATTACATCGCGCGCTACCGAATTAGCAAGGAAGCTGAAAACAAGATGGAAGAAGTAAAAAATCTCACTCAGAGTGGCAATTTTAGCACAGTTGCACATCCTAAGCCATTTGCTCAAGAACTTCAATTCACATCATCAAGTACATATGCGAATTTTGAGTCGCGAGAATTGATTTTCAATAACATCATGGTGGCATTACAAGATTCCGATGTTAAAATGATTGGAGTATATGGAACAGGAGGGGTTGGTAAGACAGCAATGGTTGAAGAGATTGGCAAACAAGTGAAAAATGGACTTTTTAATGAAGTCGTGGTGGCAGTTGTCTCCCAGGATGCAAATGTGAGCAATATTGAAGGGCAACTCACTGATCGCTTGAGTCTGAAACTAAACGGGGAAACTGAAGTGGGAAAAGCAAATGAACTATGGAATAGATTGAACAATGGGAAGAAAAATCTCATTATATTGGATGATATTTGGCAAGAATTGAACTTGAAGACAATAGGGATTCCTATCACTAATGGAAACAATTGTTGCAAAGTTGTGATAACATCTAGAATCCGAGGTGTGTTGGAAAAGATGCATGTTGATAGATACGTTCCAATGCAAGTATTATTAGAGAAAGAAGCATGGGCCCTATTCAAGACGAAGGTGGGAAATTCTGTTGACTTTCCCGAACTCCATGATATAGCTGATGCAGTCTGTAAAGAGTGTGGAGGCTTGCCGGTCGCTATACTTGCACTTGGAGCTGCATTGAAAGATAAGAAAAAATATGTCTGGGAAGATGTACTCGATCAATTCAAAGATTCCATGCTAAAGAATATTGCGGGAATCGACCCAAAGGTGTATGCTTCCTTAAAGTTAAGCTATGATCGGTTAGAATCTAGTGATGCAAATTCATGCTTCTTGCTATGTTGTTTTTTTCCTGAAGATGCTAATATTTCAATTGAAGTGTTGGCGAGACACTGCATAGCGAGAAGTTTGCTTGGACAAAACACAAATACACTAAAAAGAGCAAGCCGTCGAGTACTTACAGTGGTCGATATCCTCAAAGATGCTTGTTTGTTATTAGAAGGTAAAGTTGAAAACTTTGTCAAAATGCATGATGTCATTCGAGATGTTGCTCTTTCAATTGCAAAAGATGATGGCAAGGAAATTCTAGTAAAAGATGGTGTCAAAGAGTGGCCCGAGAAAGATACATGTGAATCTTACTCAGCAATCTCATTAAGGTTCGACAACACTCTTGAGCTTCCGGATGATTTGCTATGTCCACAACTCCACACCTTGACCATACTATTGAAATGGACTATCAATGCTTTGCTTAATGTTCCAGATAGGCTTTTCAGTGGAATGGAGAAACTTACAATTTTAGAATTGGATAGAATCTGTATGTTGCCTCCATTATCTCTTGCAAATTTGGTTAACCTTCGGATGTTATTGTTATCTTGTTGTGAATTGGGAGACATAGCTATACTCAAGGATCTAAATAATAACCTTGAAATACTTAGCCTTCGAGGTTCTAATATCAAGGTTTTGCCATTAGAAATAGGACAATTGACTCGTCTTCGATTGTTAGATCTGAAAAATTGTTACCAGCTCACAGAGATTCCACAAGGTGTCATATCCAATTTGTCTCACCTAGAAGAATTGTACATTTTAGATGACTTGCGGCTACGGGAGCCCATAAGAAGCAAAGTGAATCTTGATGAGTTGGGGAAATTGACGCAATTAACCACTATACAGATTCACATACCAAATGTCATGCTATTGCCCAAGGACTTCTGCTTTGAAAACTTGATCAGATTTAAAATATCAATGGGTATTGGTACGAATTATGGTTCTTATGGAGCTTCTTCAAAGTGGTGTGAACTTGTGGGTGTTTCCTTAATGGACAAGTTTATCGTTTTGTTGCGGAGAGCTGAAGAGCTACATTTGGAAAAAATTGAAGGTTTACAAGAGGTGCTGCATGACAGAGGTGAAGAGGGGTCTCTGATGGAACGTCATGGACTAAATCCATCAGGCTTCTTCGATAATTTAATTAAATTAACAATTAAAGATTGTAGGTTGGAATATCTCTTCTCCCTGTCCTGTGCAAGAGGATTTCCACGACTCCAGAGCAAGTTTTTCATTTTGTTGCTGAGAGCTGAAGAGCTACATTTGGATTATCAGTTCGAGATTGTAGGTTGAAATATCTCTTCTCCCTGTCCTGTGCAAGAGGATTTCCACGACTCCAGAGGCTACGAATACTTGATTGTGAGATGATGGAAGCAATAGTTGGAATTGAAGAAGAAAAAGATGAAGATGAACTCTCAAGTCAGGTAATTAATTTCAGTCAGTTGAAATATTTGCGTCTCGAGAATCTACCCAAGCTCATAAGCTTCTACCCCAAAGTGGAGAAGATGTCAACATATGAAGGAAATTCTTCTACCCAAGCACAATTTTTGTTTAATGAAAAGGTATGCTTTATCTATACCCTTTTTATTTGCTTTAATCTATTATATCTAGTTATTATAAAATGTTTTATGCATTAGGAATACAATCAAACAGGGCTAGGGTATTTTCAATAAAAATCAAAATTGTTAATCCCTAAAAAAATCACCAAATGGTTGGTCACACAGGGGCAAGCATGAAATAATTACAACAAATTAAGATTTTAAAAATAAAAAATTATGAATAAAATTAATTTTTAAGAACAAAATATTTAAGTTGTCAAAAGTGTTGTTGTATATTTAGCGATAAAATTAGATATTTAGTAATAAATTTTTATCATTTTTTGACCAAAATTTCTCTAAAAAAGTGAATATCTTATGCACCAAATTGTTTTGTCTTAAAGTGTATTTATTAACCACATTTTTAAAATTTTGATACAAAAGTCTGTTTTTTGACTTTTTAACAAAAATTAATCCCTAAATGTTTTCCCCTTCATTTTGGGGATAAAAATTTGATTTTTAAAACTCTTTCTCCCTTCCCTCTATAAATGAAGAGAAATATCAATTATTACTATTATTTCATTTCCACGTCAAATTTAATTAATCATTTTTACTGTCCCCAAGTATTCCAAATGAAGTTTTAGGGATTGGTTT